AGCTAAGATTTCAGATGTGAGCTACCAGTGCCCCACCAGACTATTTCTTAACTGGACTAAACTTCCCCCTAGACCTCCCTAGGTCAATTTGAAGTTCAAGCCTGCAGGATAGGTCCATTTTTGGAAAAGGTTTCTACACAATTCAAGCCCTTGCTTATAATTCACCCTTCTGCCATGTCTGACTAAAACATTTTAACAAAACTCACTAAGCCTAACTACATTAGGCTTAGTCAGCTTCATGTTCCTCCAAAAGAGATGAGACATTGAGAAAGACGTGAGCAAAACTGGTATGTTATTACAGAACCCACATTTAATGCTTTACACACTGAAGGTCTAACTATATTGGCAGAGTCCAAACCTGGGGGCCAGAGGCAAGGGTTTTCATGCAACAGTTTTCTCGCAGTTAGCGGCTCAGCTAACTCTCTGGAACAAAGCAAATCCTTGCATTCTATCCCATAGCCAGTTAGCTCAGTTCATCCAAGACCTACTTGCTTCTTCATGTACTTTCTGTGAAGCCAGGGCCTTGGCTCTCTACCTCTGAGCTACCTTGAGGCTCAGCCTCCTGTAGTCACCAACTGGACCCTGAGCCACTTGTAGTAGCATTTATTACCTCAAATTTCTAATAATCAACTTGTCCCATATCAGCATGAAGGTAATTTGGGGCCTGGCTAACCAGTAGCTCATGCCTGTAATCCTAGCTATCAGGAGGCTAAGATCTGGGGATTGTGGTTTGAAGCTAGCCTGGGCAAGAAAGTCTGAGACTTTTTATCTCCAATTAACTACCAAAAGGTTCGAGAAGCGAAGAAGTGGCTCAAATGGTAGAGCACAAGCCTTGAGCAAAAAAGATTAGGGGACGGTGATCAGACCCTGACCCAGCCTTTGGACTGGTGCAAGTGTGCACACACACAGCTTACAATTTTCTCAACTCTGTATTACAAGATTTGTTGAATAAAACCACTGTTGATGTGCGCTAATGTGGCTGGAATTTGGCAAGAAGAAACTGAGAAAGGTACCCAATCAGAGCAGATGCTTTTGAAGATAAAGCTGCCAACAGCTATAATATTGAAAGCATAATCTTTACTGGGGGGAGGCCAACATGCAGCCACACCCTGGCTCCAGACTTTCCCTCTTGGCCTTTGCCACAGGCATGCTCAGGGTCTGACTCCAAAAGTGAAGATCTCAAGGATCCTTTTTTTGTGTTTGTGTTGTTGTTGATTTTTAGTCAGTTGTGGAATCTGAACTCTGGGCCAGGGTGCTGTCCCTCAGCTCTTCAGCTCAAGGCGAGCACTCTACCACTTGAGCCACAGCACCACTTCCGGCTTTTTTTGCTTATGTGGTGCTGAGGAATCGAACCCAGGGCCTTATACATGCATGCAAGGCAAGCGCTCTACCACTGAGCCACCTTCCCAGCCCTGTGTGTATGTGTTTCTTAAACAAAAATCTGAAGCAAAAGGATGAGGTTGTGAATCCAATGAGAGCTTTTCCTTTGACCTGATTTGTGCAAACAAATTGAATGCGGTTCCCATGCCATCACAAAGCAGTGCCAACAAAAATCTCAACATTTAAAAAAAAATCCCTAAAACTGCTGGGCTCTGGTGGCTCACAACTACAATCTTAGCTACTCAGGAGATCTGAAGATCATGATTTGAAGCCAGCCTCAGCAGGAAAGTCTGTGAGACCCTTAACTCCAATGAATCACCAAAAAGCCAGAAGTAAAAGCTTTAGTTCAAGAAATAGACTCTAGCCTTGAACACAAGAGGTCAAGAACAGTAGCCAGGCTCTGAGTTCAAGCCCCAAGATTGATGAATGTGTGTGTGGTGTGTGTGTGTGTGTGTGTGTGTGTGTGTGTGCCCAAAACCTGCCCCAATGCCATGTAACAAAGAATTCAGAGTAATAGTGCCCAAGCAATGGGAACAGGACAGGAAGGGTGCTTCAACAAGTAGTATGCAGAGGGGGTGGAGGAAGGGCCATCTAGACTTCCTAGCACTGGGAGTGCCACAGGCACAAATGTTCTCCAGGCTTTCACTGCACACTGCCACCCAGGATGACCTTGCCAGCAGCTGCCAGTAACATGAGAGCCCAGGACCACAATGCCCACTAAGCTGTCCTTGGCAGACTCCAATGAGGAAGAGCGCACTGCAAAACTCTGTCAACACGGCTAATGGTTAATGGAAGAATGAAATAAAATTCCGCATTAGAAAGATGTCATCAAAGAGGATTAAACAGAGAAATCACTTTGAGCACCTGAGGCAGAGGTGTTTTTAAGAGTGTTTCGCCCTTTGGCTACTAAATCTGCAGTGGGAAAAGAATTCCATGTTTTGTGTTGTGGCTGCGGTCACCCCAGCACCAACAAATGCTAGTGGTGCAGGTACTCATCCGTTTTCCTTCCTGCTGAGCAATGAAATGACTGCTGGCACCTCTGGCTCCCTACTTTCCTACAGAACCAGCCATGGGTAGCAGAGAGAGAACAGGTATGAAGAAATATATAAGAAGTATATAAGTCCACATATACGATAGACTACAGTAGAAAACCACCACACTGTATTTGGGAGGCAGAGGCAGGATGACAACGCTCAAGGCTAACCTGATCAGACGTGGGGAGACGCTGTCCCAAATGACACAACAGAAAAGACACCATGATTCTATAAATTAGAAAAAGGTAAGGAAGATTAAAGGGGCGAGGAACAGTACACAATACTGGGATAATCCTAGTAAAAAAAAATAAGATTCTGATGAAGGTCTTAAACGTAAACTATACCCATGGAAACCCCATAGCCCAGGTTCTCAGGCCAATCTCAGAACTGAATACTGATGCTATTCACTGGCTAGAAGCCTTTTTTGCCACATGTTAAAAACAAAACAAAAAACAAAAACACTTTCTCAGGACCTCTGCCCTACTTTTGTCCTATTCTTTCTGTGTGTTTTTCATACTTGGGCCTTACTTACTAAACAGGTACTCTAACATTGAGCAACACCTCTAACTGTTTTAGCTTTATTTTTCAGATAAGGTCTCTCTTTTTGCCTGTACTGTAATCCTATTTATGCTTCCTGTATAGCTGGGACATCAGGCATTTACCACTGTGCCCCACTTACTACTATGTAAAATGGAGTCTTGTGAATTTTTTGCCCAAGCTGACCTCAAACTTTGATCCTCCCAATCTCTGCCTCGCTAAGTAGCTAGGATTACAGTTGCAATCCACCCTTCCTGGTTCTACTTTTGTCCTATTCTTACCTACTCTAAAAATACCCTTGGTTACTTGTATGACAAGGCTATTTTCTGACAGAACTTTCTGATGCTTGTCAGAGTGAAGTACAAACAAGTCAGTCATCCAACATGATGTAGCCTCCAATTCCTTCAGAGAGAAACAGAATATGGAGAGAACCCCTCCCAACACAATAACCGCCCCCCCACCTGCCGTGTGAGGTATGGGCTCTGAGCTTTTATCCAACCCCTCTGCCATTCCTAGCTGACTTACACCCAAAGCTTCAGTGTTTCAGACTGCCGTGACACCGCAGCAACAGCTGTATTCCTGACTGTGCAGTGTAATTTCTGACATAATTTATACAAGCACAAATAATCAGCAGTGAACAGGGAAGCAAGGTTAACAAATGCTATGAATGGGTCTATGATTTGCATATTACTTGGCTCCTCTGTGGACTAGAGCAGTCCACCCATTCTCCTCATTGTATTGAATAATCCTGAAATGGTCGGATACTCCTGGCAGATAGCTATATGTTTTAAAAATCAAAAGGAACATCAATGGTTGATGAACTCTAGAATTAAGGCTATTTCAAGCACTTCTTCTTTCCCTCACCTTTGGGGCTGGGACAGTGATGCTCAAAAACCCTGCTATCTCCTTTCTTTGCCCTAGCTCCCTAGCCGTATCCCTCAACTATAAGAAGGAAAGGACATGGAGAAATAAGGCCTTTCTTGGAGAACAAAGCCAGAAGGACATGATCAGAAAATGACCTCTCCAAACAATAGCAAAGCAAGAAGAAGACAACAGGGAAATGTTCTGTTGAATAGTGAAGAAGGTCATGCCAAAGTGCCAACAGCAGGACCTGTCACTTACTGAGATGGTTGTCTCCCATGGAAATTCATTTTTTAAAGAAGACTGAAAGGGGAAAAAAATGAAAGAGCAGTAGTAATCCATGGAGGACTCTTGGTGGCAAACCCACGAGTCAAGAAAGCTGAGCTTAGGACGGAACTGCTATGATTATTTAAAATACTGTGGCCAGTGGCTCCCCTCTAAGACTTCCCTACTGAAAATAATGGCATGGAAGGGAAACTTGGGTCCACTGAGGAGTGAGAGTCAGATCTGAAGCCTCTTTGGTAACAGGAATGCTTTGGGAGGCCACAAAAGTTGGGAGGGTTGGAGGGTGCATAGCACCTTGGCACAAGCAAGCACCAGGCAATCACTCACACCGACATAACTATGAAGGATGGAGGGAAAGAACACATATTGGTGATAATAAAGACAATCATATCCTGCCCGTACGCCACCGTCCTCTGGCAGTGTCACTTAGGGTCTCCTCAGTTAACAATGGGGTTATTTCATGACAAATTCATAATGCCTTACTTAAAGAAGCAGAATCAGGGATGGCTAAAAACAAGGCCTTAAAATCCTGGAGATCAAAGGAGTGCCTTGACAAATTTCAATGTGAAGTTAAAAGTTTCAAGCCCTCAAAACTAGGGGAGTTATTCTGGGAGGATAGCCATAGGTGAGGATGATGACACAGGGCAGGCTGGGAGCCCATACCAGAGACCCTGTATTCTCCTGGGGAGAGCTAAATGAGGTTGGGACAGCCCCAACAGGTAGGCAGTTGATATTGGCTTTTTAAAAGCTGGGTAACAATCTTTCCATCCCAACCTAATCGAAACAAAGGTCAGCTCACTATCAACATGGTCTAAGAACCAAAGCAAGAAATGCACATTCTTCATCATTGTCATAAAATCCTCCTATCTAAAAAGCAATCAACTCTGAAAAAGAGCAAGACTCTAAGGTGATTAAAAAGTTAAAATTCATCTTGAGGTCACAGGGGAGCAGAAGGAAAAGATTAGGGCAAAGGGCAAAGGAAAACATCGTGGGGATGACACACAGTATGTGAATGCCTGGTCTTCACCGAGATGCGCCGATCATGAATCAGACCATCAGTTATGTTACAAGAGAACCAAGCTCAACGTTCTCCCCTGGAGCACAGTGATAAGCACATTTTTTTTTTCTTTTATGGATGTGTTTAGGATAGAAGGGGGTGGGCAGAAGAGAGAGGAGGCAAGGAGGTGAATGTGTTATGTACAAAGAGAAATGACAGAGGCCACCCTTCCTTTAGCTCTTGGCAGATTCTTTCTCTTTGTTTTCCGCGTCCTCGGGATATGCGTGCCACGTCAGTCTCTCTTCATAAAATGCTATCACAATTTGTGGACATTTCACATTAGCTTCTTTTGCGAGAACCAGGTCTGCCTCATCTGTGTCTTTCCTGGAAAGAAGAAAAAGAAACTTAGAAGGAAAAGAAGCAAGAGTGATTAAATCTGTCCATCATGCCACTATTGGGATGTTGTTGACTTGATTTCTTCCTCATGTCATGACTTCACGGGAAAGGGACCCTAACAGAAATGGAGGTGTCACTCAGTGACAGAGCTAAGGGAGAGCAAGGTCCTGCATACAATCCTCAGTATCAATAAACAGACACACACACACACACACACACACACACACACACACGCACGCACGCACACACACACGCACACACGCAAGCGCGCGCAAGCTGGGGGCTGATGGCTCACACCTGTAATCCTAGCTATTCAAGTGGCTGAGATTATAGGATCGTGATTCAAAGCCAGCCCTGGCAGGAAAGTCCATGAGACTCTTTATCTCCAATTAGACACCAGAAAACCAGAAGTGATGCTGTGGCTCAGAGTGGTAGGACACTAGCCTTGAGCAAAAGAGCTCAGGAACAGTGCTCAGGCCCCAAGTTGAAGCCCTACAACTGAAAAAATAAAAATTAAAAAAAAAGGCCCTAACAGGAGAAACTTAAGTAAATAAACTGAATTATGAGTAGCTATCATTTAACTACCGATTCAGACAGGTACAGCAGTCTTTAGAATTTAGGCTCAACCCAAAATGATTAATAAGTTATGTTTATTCTACTGCCATAATTTTATGTGTATATTAGCATGTGACACAAATACAATCAAACCCACTTGCAGCTGTACAGTCATGTACAAGTTGATTGACTAAGTTTTGAGTCACCTAAGTGAGGAAGTCCTCTTCTTCCTCACTTTCTGGCTTTTTAAATACTGATTAGTTTCTTTTATCAGAATTGCAATATGAACAATAAGAAAATATAAATGTAGCTGCAAATTTCAATTATCCATGTTACACAGCTTTACTATCAGATATAACAACAACAAAATAATCTTGTAACATGCTTCCTTAACCATGATTACAAATCCAGGAAAAAAAAAATCAAAATCCTCCTGAGCTTCAACTACCTCCTTTTCTAAGAAAACTGAGTTTCATTTGTAGAGGTAAGTATTATGGGTGAGGGGAGGAAAGGAAAAACATAGTCCAGCACACTTAAAGTCTGGAATATGGTTAAAAAAAAAAGCTATTCAATATATGAACATAAATAACCAAAACATGCCTGGGTAGAGGCAAAAGAAGCAATCAATATGGCTGTTTCTCAGAAAGCATGTTGATTCTTCAAATAGAGGCTTCTAGGTAATCTGCCAGCAATATTTTGGTCAGATAAAATGTTAAGCCTTATTGCCTAGCACTTGAGGCCTTGGGTTCCATCCCCAACACCACAAAAACAAACAAAAACCTAGCCTTTCCTTATACAACTTTCAGAGTAATTAGCTTCCTTAGTGGCACTGTAGTACCAACCCACTTAAAAACAAACAGGTAGTGAGGGCCACACCATAAATCACCCTGTCTTTAAGAAACCCAACTGAGGGGGAAGTACTCCACTTTCCTCTAAGAGCCAGTCTTTCTACCGGATAAAGTAACTTGGGCTTTGACCAGTATCAACCCTAATGCTTCTTATTGGAATTGTTTTTCCCCTGTAGACATCACTCAGTGGTCTTGGCCCACAGTGTCCTAAAGCCTCACCTGGCTCCCATCCCACAATCTCAGGCTCATGATCTTACAGTAAATGACGCAGTGCTGTGTAAGCAGACATGTTTACTGTTCCTACCCCAAACATACCATTTTCTGACATGTGGGCTACTATACTATAATATGGCTAAATAGCAGAGCTCAAGAATGTAATAAATCCAATCTGTACTATAATTCCCATTTAGTACTGAAGTAGGTATTGATTAGGGTTTTTGTTTGTTTGTTTGTTTGTTTGGGTTTTTTTGTTTTTTTTTGGTCAGTCATGGGGCTTGAACTCTGGGCCTAGGCACTGTCCCTCAGTTCTTCAGCTCAAGGCAAGTGCTTTAGCACTTGAACCACAGCACCACACTTCCAGTTTTCTAGTGGTTAACTGGAGATTAGTTTCACAGACTTTCCTGCCCGGGCTGGCCTTGAACCCTGATCCTCAGATCTCAGACTCCTGAGTAGCTAGGATTACAGATGTGAGCCACTGGGGCCCATCTTGATTAGGGATCCTTGAAATTCAAAATTCTTTTTTTTTTTTTTTTTTGGGTCCGGTCATGGGGCCTGAACTCTGGGCCTGGGAGCTGTCCCTCAGCTCTTCAGCTCAAGGCTAGCGCTCTACCACTTGGGCCACAGCGCCACTTCCCGCTTTTTTCTTTTTGCTTATGTGGTGCTGAGGAATCGAACCCAGGGCCTCAGGCATGCAAGGCAAGCGCTCTACCACTGAGCCACCTTCCCAGCCCCTGAAATTCAAAATTCTTAATCTGGGAATTCTCAGGCTTGCCATCCCATCTTCCACATAAATTCAAGTCACTAGCAAAGAAACACAATTGTGAAGTGAGGCCCATTTCTCTCACCATTTCATTAGGAACATTAAATCACCACAGGAATCTGTTGCCCCAATGATCTTTTCTGGTTCCAGTCCTCTTTCAAAGCCCCGAGCGATATCATTGCTCTGCTATAAATAGAAGATGAACACAGGTTACAGCTTGGAGGGAAGAGTAAAAAACCTGTTTCTCAGCTCAACATGGCACCACGCACATTAGTATCACTTGATATCATTTGTGTGTCTCCAATTCAAGAGAATTCTCAGAACTTAAGAAAATACAATGGTAGGTCAGTCAACGACAGTGATGCCGACGGATAATTTTTACAAAAGACTCAGGCGTTGTTCTTGGTATTCTCTCCACAAGATCATGACTGACCCTTAAACATCCTTGATGTCCTGTGAAACACTCTAGTCATCAGCTAGGAATTCCTCTAATTCTAAACACTCAGAATCTCAATTTTAAACTGACTACCTCTATCTTATAACTTCTGAGATGATAAACAAATCCATATTTATTTTTCATTGTCTAAACTTCAAATATATCACCCTGTCTTTATTTTTGTAAACTTTTATTGTACCTTAAATGGTCCAATAATTATAGTATTTCTTTTCACCCAGTCATTTACATTACGAATGATCAGAGGTAAGAATGATTCAAGGCCAATACTATAAAATGGCAAACTTCAAACATCTGAAACATGAATACTCAGGAACCTGGCTGGGGAAGAGTCCTGTCTGCCTAATATGGAGAAGCTGTGAACACTAGAAAGCAAAACTGGACTGTGATTTCAAACTAATTAACTAACAGGTCATGAGTTAAGTGGTGAAATTTGGACTTTGCCAACTATGAGATCTAGACATAAAACATACTTTGATCCAGGCATAATAATAACACTGGTCAGGACAAAAAGGGTAAAATTGTATTCAAACAAGATAGTTTCTCAAAAACCTCATTATAAAAAAGAATGAGGGCTGGGAATGTGGCTTAGTGGTAGAGTGCTTGCCTAGCATGCATGAAGCCCTGGGTTTGTTTCCTCAGTACCACATAAACAGAGAAAGCCGGAAGCAGTGCTGTGGCTCAAGTGGTAGAGTGTTAGCCTTGAGCAAAAAAGAAGTTCAAGGACAGTGACTGGGCCCTGAGTTCAAGCCCCAGGACTGGCAAAAAAGAAAAAAAGATCATGAAACAAAGTAGAGCTGTGGCTCAAAGTAGTAGAGCACTAGCCTGGAGCATAAAAGCTTACATACAATGCCCAGGCTCTCAGTTCAAGCCTCATAAAAAGAAAAGAAAGGAAAAAGATAATGAAAATATATTTAGTGGCAACACAAAGGAAATCCGTAGATAAGACTACCATAACAGATGAAACCTCTAGTGTCTGATTTCCATAAAATCTCTTTCATCTGATACGCACCCTTCCTTCCTCTGGGAAATACAAAAGCATGAGGGGTCCAGGTGGCCCCCAAAGACACCAGGACATACAATAGGAAGGAAATTCCATGCATGGAACAAGGGGAGATACTGAATTTTAAAAACATAGCTTCTTTTGGGGTGCTTAAGGGGAAGACGTTCCCAGATGTGCACACAGCTGCTCACAGCTGGAATGCTGGCGCATGGACTGAGTAGTAAATCACTGCTGGCGGCTGAAACAGTTTGCCACATAGGAAAGGAAGGGAGGGGGGGAATGGAAGAAAAATGTCCAAGCTGCTGAAAAGGAGCCGAGGCGAGGAAAATGCTAAAATCATCACACAGGCAGTAATCTTAAATCAGGCATAATGCCGACTAACAAATTTCCTCTGCAGTGGTCTAAAGAAAGAAACGCAATCCCCCCTGTACCTTTAAAACATACAATCACCTATCTTCCCAGCTGCCTACCTGACAGCCGCCAGTACTGCTGAGAATGCTATCAGGGGCCCCAGAAGAGCACCATGATGTAAAGGGCACGTGGGAGCTGTTTTCAAGGTCAGCAGCTTCAGAACCTGGCCTAGGAACAAAACTCTGCTCTGGTCAGTGGTATGAAACCACATTACTAAGAAACATCTTTCTTTTAGAAGGACAGAAAGTCTAGGTTGAGGAAATACACATCATTCGTCACAAATACCTACTCAGAAGTCTTATACAATGTTGTTTTTGCTCTCTTAACTGAGCTAGAAAAATGAATCAAATGACAAAAGCCTGCATACAAAGGAATACTAAAAAAGAAAAAAAATTCAAGGCCTACCTCCTTAGAGAAAGCATTCACAAATCCTTTATCAATATAGTATATTACCATGATAAACAGACCTCACCAGAACAGAGTAGTTTTTAAAATAAGGTTGCACAAAAAAAGAAAGAAAGAAAGAAAAGAAAAAAAATCTGACTAGGGAAACAAGGAAACATACACAAATTAAAGCTGGGCTCCAGTGGTTCACGCCTGTAATCCCAGCTACTCAAGAGGCTAAGATCTGAGGATCACGGTTCAAAGTCAGCCTTGGGCAGGAAAATCTGTGAGACTCTTATCCCCAATAAACTACTAAGAAAAGGCTGGAAGTGTGCTGTGGCTCAAGTATAGAACATTAGCCTTGAGCACAGAGGGGCTCAGGCACAGAGCCCAGGCCCCAAGTTTAAGCACCAGGACTGGCAAGAAAAAAAAAAAAATAGAGAGACCACTTTCACCTTAAGCCTGTGATCTCTCTCATTTTAATTCTTCCTTGTGACTGGCCCTACCTTACTAACATAGCCCCCGGCTTGGTCTTAAAACTCCAAGATCATCCACCTCCCAAGTGCTGGGATAACAGATATGTAACACAATCTGCTAAAACCATAGACATATCAGCTGTGGGTCAGACAAGAAGTTTTCCATTTTTTGTTTTGTTGTGTTTTTCCTTACAGTGGGGGGATGGATCCCACGGTCTGTGCATGATAGACAAGTGCTCTACCACTAAACTAAGTGCCAGCCACTGCACTGGAGCTTTGTAAAAACACCCCTGGCTCAGGGGATTCCAATGAGAAGCTAGAGTTAAAAAGTGAATGTTCTAGGAAAACACACCTTTGGGTAAAATGAGGCTGAACGGGGGTGCCTGTGGCAGTGAAGACGGAAGAGTCTGAAGTGAACCCTTTCTTTTATTATTAAATTCAAGTGCATGATATATCCTTTACCACAAAGACTTCACAACCTTGACACAAACGAAAAGTTAAAGCTGCAAAGTTTCTTACTGCAAAGCATGTGCACACACAGGCACATGAAACATAGATAGAAAAGAGAAGCAATAGCAATGTTAGTTATATCAGCACTAAAGATCAGAAGGACTAAAGTGAATTAATCAAACCAAATTTTCACAAACTTCCCAAATAGAACAAAAAAGAGAGAGAGAGAGAGAAATTCTTAGCTGAAATACATAGCTCAAAGGAAAGTATATAAGTCAGGTAGGAGTGGCTCATACCTGTAATCCTAACCACTCAGGAGGCTGAGTTCTGAGGATCGTGCATTGAAAGGATCCAACAGAAAAGGCTCTAATTAAGCAATAAGAAGCCAGACTGAAGGCATGGCTCAAGCAACAATGACAGTTCTGGATTGAAAAGCCAAGTAAGAGTGTGAGGCCTTGTGTTCAAGCCCTAGTACTGGTGCAATAGAAAGAGGGGTGGGGGTGGGGGGAAAGGAGAGAAGCTAAGGCAAGAGGGTCAAGAGTTCCAGCACAGCCTGGACTTACAGCAAGGTCCTGTCACAAAAAATAGAGAGAGATGCCAAGAGTTGGTGGCTCACACCTGTAAGCCTAGATACTCAGAGCTAAGGATCAAGCTTTGAAGCAAGCCCAGCAGGAAAGTCAGTAAGACTCATCTCCAATTAACCACCAAAAAAGCCAAAAGTGAAGGTGTAACTCAAGTGGTATAACGTTAGCCTTGAGCAAAAAAACACAAGATAGCACCCAGGCCCTGAGTTCAAGTCCAGGACCAGCACATACACACATACACACACATGTAAAATTTAAAGAGAGAGAGAATGTAAGTTATATGCTTGGAAATGATCCACGGTATGGATTTCACCTCAAGGAAAAACATAAAGGTTTAAAAATAAGTGCTGACATTGGAAAAAAGTGAAGTCCTAAGCATTTCAGAGCTTGTTTCCCTCATTAAAGTTTCAAAAGGTTTTTTTTAAAAAAAAAAAAAAGAATTTCATGTGTGCATACACTATCCACCTTCAGCTTCACTGTTTCCTCTAAAATAACTAAACCTTCTGTTCATGGAGGTCAAGTCATTTAATGTTTTACATTGTGTTTTTTGCCACTTCAGTAAAAATTCAATTCTGTAAGTTACATTTCTCACTCAGCCAGGAGGGGGCGCTGAAGTTAATCATCATACCTCCCTGGAAACTTTTGTTCCAACAATTTACCCTGTAGGTTCTTCCTGAGAACAAATAACTAAAATTAAGGCACCTTGTTGGATGGAGATGTCAAAAGAATAGTCAGTAAGGAAAAAGGCAAGAAAGTTTACTTACCTCTCTCTTTTTTTTGGATTTGATATCATCAGCACTGTTTGAGAAATTGGATTTCCTCTTGTTACTTTCTGACTTCTCCCTGGGTTTATTATTTTCACCTTCCTTCATCTTCTTATACTTTTTCATAAACTCAGAGATTAGTTCAGGACAATCCAAGTTTTTCTCAGGTTCCCAGGTGTTGTGCTCCCTGGGCAAGAAGAATGGAGAGGAAAGGCAAAGAATCAGGAATAAAATCTGGCCACTTCATTGCTTGATCTGTCTTTCTCATTTTCACTTTTTGCAAAGCTAGGGATCAAATCCATGCTACGCAAGTGCTGTACATTCCTAGCTTTTCCCAATACCTTATGTAAAGAGGAAATCTTGCCAAAAAGGTCAGACATCATATGTGTTATACCTTAATAGAGATAAAATTTCCTTTTAAAACATTTAAGTTCATATAGTTGATACTAAATCCTTGTTTCACTACCTGCAGATATGCAATCTTCAGGAAACGCTCCACTAATATCTTCATCTGGAAACCAGATATACTTCTAAAGGCTTTTATAAGAATTTAACAAACACAAGAGGAAGAATCTGCCCACTGGCCTAGAAAATACAGCAGCTGCTCCTCGCCTGTGGTTTCACTGCCTGTGGTATTAGTTATCCTTGGTCAACAGCGCCCAAAAACATTGACTAGAAAATTTCAGAACTAAAACAGTACGTTTTAAATTGCTTATTGTTGTGACATGATAGAATCTTGAGCCCTTCCACAATGTAGAATGTGAATCAGCACTGTACAGGGCAACCCCACATCACCTGCCCATTAGTTGCTGTCTCTATGGACAGATGGTTGCAGTATTGCAGTGCTTGTGTTCACACGCCCCTGCAGGAATAGTATACACTATGTCACTACTACACCATGCCTCCACCATTCATCATCCACATTGCCCAGGCACTCACTCTAGTGATCATCTTGCATCATCACACATGGCGAGTATAATGTACTAAGAAGTGTGTGTGTGTGTGTGTGTGTGTGTGTGTGTGTACTGGGGCTTGAGCTCAGGGCCTCACATTCTTGCTTGCCTTTGTGTGTGTGTGTGTGTGTGTGTACTGGGGCTTGAGCTCAGGACCTCACATTCTTGCTTGCCTTTGTGTGTGTGTGTGTGTGTGTGTGTATGTGTGTGTGTGTGTGTGTGTGTGTGTGTGTGTACTGGGGCTTGAGCTCAGGGCCTCACATTCTTGCTTGCCTTTAAGTGTGTGTGTGTGTGTGTGTGTGTGTGTGTGTGTGTGTACTGGGGCTTGAGCTCAGGGCCTCACATTCTTGCTTGCCTTTTCTGCTCTAGACTGGCATTCTAGTACTGGAGTTATACCTCTACTTCTAAGAGGTTACACCTCTACTTCTAAGAGGTTTTGAGAGACTACATTTACATAGCTTTTATTATTCTACATTGCTACAATTAGTTACTAGTGCTAACCTGTTCTGTACCTAGTTTATAAATTAAAACTTTATTATAGGCATGTACTGAATAGGCAAAAACATAGAATGTCTATAAAGGGTTGGTACTCCTTTAGTTTTAAGCATCCACTGTTATTCACTGACCCTCAGGGAGCACTTTGTCACAGACAATGCTGGGATAGGGAGAGAGCAAAATTTGTTCCAGTCTTTTATGAGATTTCAGATATTTATGACCAACTAACAACAAACTCTTACTCCACCTACCCCAAATTTGGATTTAGCTATGGTAAAGTAGTTCAAAAATAGTAAGGTTTTTTTTTCCCCCCTGTGACAGGGTGTCACAGTCTAAATTGGCTGGAACTCACTAAGTAGCTCAGGCTGGCCTCAAATTCTTGATTCTCCTGCCTCAGCTTCCGAAAGGATTAATGGGAGCACCATCTAACCAGGTTTCATGGCTTTAAGTACCTTTCAAACATACAAGGGCTAAAACTATAGGTGTTTACCACCATACTTGGCTTAAGAGATCATTTTCATTTCTTTTTTTTTGTTGTTGGGGCTTGAAAACTGTGGGCCTGGGCGCTGTCCCTTAGCTCTTCAGCTCAAGGTTAGCATTCTTACCACATGAGCCACAATGCACTTCCAGTTTTCTGGTGGTTTATTGGAGATAGGAGTCTCATGGACTGGCTTTGAACCACAATCTTCAGATCTCAGCCTCCTGAGTAGCTAGGATTACAGGCATAAGCCACTAGTGCCCAGCTCATTTTAATTTCTTTAAGACCCAAGTATTTATACTGATGGTTCAATGGATTACAAAATACCATCAAGGCCAGGTATTGGTGGCTCACGCCTATAATCCTAGCTACTCCGGAGGCTGAGATCTGAGGATCACGGTTCAAAGCCAGCCCAGGCAGGAAAGTCCGTGAGACTCTTATCTCCAATAAAACCACTGGAAAACCAGAAGTGGCGCTGTGGCTCAAGCAGTAGAGCGCTCGCCTTGAGCTGAGGGACAGTGCCCAAGCCCAGAGTTCAAGCCCCACGACCGACAAAAAAAATAAAAAGAGAAAAGAAAATATGCTCAAGGTCTTTAATTCCTATTTCAAAGTGCTGTCTCTCAAATTCAGTGGTTCTCATAGAACTTTTCATAAACATAGAAAGCACTTTCTGATCATTGTACTACTTCCTAGTTAGCATGTGCTAGAGAAGCTGAACAATCTGAAATGCATACATTTTCTCATCTAAAGCCTAGCCCCACAAGAAACCCTAATTCATGTAATGAAATAATCTGTTATGATCTGAAGACTAACTGGCAAAACGTGGAGTCTGTTTTTTCCCTTGGGGCAATACTAGAGTTTGAACTGAGTGCCTTGTACTCATGAGGCTGGCAATCTACCACTTGAGCCAAATATCCAGCCCTGCTTTTTGGAAAAGGAGTCCAGTGAACTTGGTGTGAATCACAAGCACCCAGCTTTTAAAACTTTTTCTTTTTTTGAGCCAGGGTCTTACAAGGCTGACCTCAAACTCAACATTCTTCACACCTTAGTCTCACCAGTGCTGGGATTACAGATGGATGTTGCCACTCTCTGGTATGTTTGACATTTTTACTAATGAAACGTTGAACTCAGATTGATTGATAATAGTATTGGAATTTGAACTCAGGGCCCTGTGCTTGCTAGGAAGCTGCTCTATCTGAGCTACACACACCCCTCCCTCTCTACACCTCAGATTTAAATCTTAATTAAGACAAGCCCTTTTGGGGCTGGGAAGGTGGCTCAGTGGTAGAGTGCTTGCCTAGCATGCATGAGGCCGTGGGTTCGATTCCTTAGCACCACATAAACAGAAAAAGCTGGAAGTGGTGCTGTGGCTCAAGTGGAAGAGCGCTAGCCTTGAGCTGAAGAGCTGAGGGACAGCACCCAGGCTCAGAGTTCAGGCCCCATGACCAGCAAAAAAATTTAAAAAAAAAAAGTACCCTTTGCCAGGCACAGTGAATCAGTGACTCATGCCTGTAATCCTATCTACTGAGGAGGCTGAGATCTGAGGATCTGCCTTGGCAGAAAAGCACCTATGCGATTCTTATTTCCAATAAACCATTCAAAAACTGGAAGTGGTGTTGAGGCTCAAGTGACAGAGCACTAGCCTTGAGCACAAAGAGGTTCAGGGACAGGGCCCAGGCCCTGAGTTCAAGCCCCACAACTGACAAAAAAAGAAGTGTGTTTCTTTCTGAGACAATTCTAATGCCCAATATTGGAGAATTATGGGATAAGGAATCAACTTCTTTTTCTTTTCATTTAAATGTATACATTGTACCTTAGTTATATCCAAAAGAATACTAGCAGTAACAGTTTATACTTATACCAAGCTTTTGTGCAGGCTCTGTGCATCTACCCAACAAATCTATATCAGCACTATTTAACTCAGTTTTTATTTTTCTTGGCAGCGCTGGGCATTATATGCACAGCCTGGAGCATGCTAGCAAAGCACACTGACAGTGAGCTCCATCTCCATATCCTTTACTTGACTGAGACAAAGATAAAAGAAATTAGCCAAGGTCATCAGCTTCTGTCATAAGTGGTGAAGCAAAACTCTAGACCCAGGTAATTGGGCTCCCAAGTGTATGCTCTAGCCAGTTCATTACATTGCCTCTCAAAAGCCATTGGAATATCAGCTCCTGGGGAACAAGTAGAGGCTGTGTAGTCTGTTCAGGAAACATGAACATGTTGGGGAAAAAGACAAAGATGGTGGTGACTCATGGGCCGGTAAAGCAAGGTCCACCTCTGGAGAGACCTTAAAGGCCACAGAAAAGCACTTACTCAGAAAAGCCTTTCCACTTCAGCAGATACTCCACCTGCCCTTTAACCACGCGCCTGTCTAACACCTTTTCCACGACATATTCCTCCTCATCCTCTGAAGAAGAACTATCCGCTGTCCTCTTGCTTTTCTTGCCCATGTTGCACAATGTTCCACCGGAAGGAGTAAGGCCACGGAGTTCCTACAAAGGGGAAGGACAAAATGGTCAGAATCAATGTGAGAATTAGAAATTGTCACTTCTTTAGGGGCTAGAGAATGACACAATGTTGCCACCTACTTTTCTCCTGGCTCTACCAATATTCTACAGATAGTTCTAAAGAGAGGGAATGTCCAATCCTCACTTCCCCAACTGAACTTGCTCTTCAGTTGAAGAATTGTCCAGCGCTGCCAGGCTGTTTGGCATTTTTGTAACTGTTTATAAGCAGGAACTCAAAACAGAAATGTGGAAAATCTTCAGTTAAACAAACAAGGACTGAATGCAAACTTTTCTCCTCCAAGGTGAATAAGGGCCTTTGTAAAATGAAAACAAGAAAAAGCCCTTAGAAGTATAACCTTTTCTATACTCTGAGCATCTTGTCCAGTCTCTTGGCAGCCAGCATGCGTGCACACATCCTGCTTAGGCCTCTTTTGCCACAGGTTCAGGTACATTTCCAACAGACAAACTGAGCCTGTCCTTCTGAGCATCCATCAGCTCACAACGCTGAAGCTGACATCTCCAACACACTGAGCCTCCTTTTCAGCAAGCTCATTTGGGGATGGGAGGGAAGCAGAGAGGAGAAAGAAACTTTCAGTCCTAAAATGCAAAATTAGTCACTGGATTGTTCTGTAATTCCCAGTGGTCAAGTAACCCAAACAGCAAAGGAGGTACCTCTCCTCTTAACTGAAGTTGACTTTGGGCCAAAGGAAGAGGAGGAGGAAAGAGAAGTCTGGCCCCAGACTCAGCATCAACACCAAGCCTCCTCAAAACACAGAGGAACCATTCATAGGCCCAAGATGAGCCCAAGCAAGGCAAGACAAATGGAAATTGAGTTAAGCTCAGAAATATGCACATCGGGGAGTGCTCAACAGAGAACTTCGTTCGTAAAATTCCCACACTGTTGTGAACACAGTCATTTGTAAAGAATTCTTCCTGAACCCTGTTAAATGGTGCCTGTGGTCTAGATTACAGAATTGCATAAGTTGTTTTCTTAGCTGAACTCCACTTTTATTTTGCTGTGTAATCTGTAAGGCTACTCTTCCACGCTCTCTTTGAACAAACTGGAAGGGTAGCTCCTAACATTCTCAGGATTATGCTCAAGGAAGCATCAAATATTGCATTTACCAAGTCCCTTCTGAGGAGTAACTTTTAGGAAACCATCACAAGAATATATCGGATACTGTTGGAAACCGTCTTCACAACTCACCAGAAATAGGTAAGACACCTAGAAACACTGCCTGCACTACTGCCCTCTAAGTTAAGCTTTGGGTGAAACACTTGGGGAGGGGTCTGGGAGCACGCAGGAAGCTTCCAGGTAACCTTCCAGTGGATGGAGAAGCGCGTCTTGAGCTTCTAGGAACGCTCTCTGCTTAGGGGTATTTAAAATAAAACCAGCCCGGCCCTCCCCACACCCGGAAGTGCTGGGTTCCAGGGAGGCGGCCCCTCCCCCTCCCCCTCCCGCCGCGCCGCGCGGCGTTTCCGGCCCGGGTCAGAGGCCGGGGTCGGGTCCCGCCGCCCCTTGGGGTGGCTGCGGCCTCCCTCCCCCGCCGACCGGGACAACGGGGTTGACACACTGTGTGCTTCGGTTTGGGGCGCGGCGGGGGAGGAGAAGAGGAAAAAATGTCCTATGTACCTTCATGCAGAAGAGAAGCCCCCAGAGTAGGAGATAAATGGGGGAGCCCTCCTTTACCTACCAGCTCGCCCCGGTTCTTTCTCTCCCTCCCCTCCCCTCCCCTCCCCTCCCGGGTCAGTGCGCAGCTCCCTGCCCCCACCTTGAGGCCCAGGCGCCACTGCGCAGCTGTCCCGGCCCGTTGCCATGGCAACTGGCAGCCTACTAGACTAAGGGGAGAAGCAGAAGGAAAAGTTGAAGGCTTTAACTTTCCTCTTCAACTGGATTAGGTGGAAGGTACGTCCCTGGGCCTAAAGGCTAAGGCACTCAAGAGTTCAAGGGACTTCTTACTTCTTTGCTTTCAACTACAGAACTTGTGTTTCTAAAAGCACTGCGTTTTAATCTGTAACATTTTAGGATGATCTAACAAGACTGCAGCTCTCTACCGGAAGGGGGAAGGGAAAGGCTAGGTCTTTCTACAACCTATCAGAATAAACCATCTACCCCTAATCCAGCCCACCAGAAGCACAAGGCCTTCCCGCCATCTGCCACTGTACATTCAATTAAAATTGCTTGAGGGTAAAATAACAGAAGAGGGGAAAGGGGAAGCACATTAAAAACATACTATATTTTCCTTGTGTTAGAGGATTACTAGATGCAGAACTAAATCCAAAAGCATGTAACATTAGCAAACCAAGTTTGAAATTATAGGTGCTGGGGGGGGGGGGGGGGGCGTGGCGACAGTGAATTAATCTCTAAGTACTTTTGTTACAAAATTAAGGTCAGGTTGGTTGCAGCCATCATTCCATCTCAATAGTTGTTCCTGTAAATGTTCTGGAATAGATCTCTTAGTAATTATTACCCATCTGATACATTATCCACATATAGTTTCCTGTATCAATATTCCCAAATACCTGACAGGAAAAAAAAACAGCCTGGCAAGAGAGAGGCCTGGAGGGGGGGGGGGCCCTCAGGTGGGGCATGAAGATGTGGCGGAATGACACAAAGTAACATAAATTCTCTTTGGCCAGGCTCTAACAAAAATTTTAGAGCTTTGAAACTGCTTGGTTTTATATGTGGGGAACATTGTTTTATTTTCTGTGATGCACACTAACCCCTGAGCCACACCTCCAGTCCAACTCAGTCCTGAAGAACTCTGGAGCCAAAGGCAGCTGTTGCTACAACAGACTAAGGAAAGGGGATCATAGAAGAACTCCACTAAACAATTATAATGGGGGCTGGGAAGGTGGCTCAGTGGTAGAGTGCTTACTGGATTTGTTGGCCAATGCAGTGGCTCACTTCTATGATTTCAGCTATTTGGGAAGTAAAGATCAGGAAGGTATTGAAACCAGCCCATGCAAAAAGTTATTAATACCTCATCTTATCAAATAAGCCCGGTGTAGTAAGGCACACCCGTAATCTCAGCTATTTGAGAGGTATAGGTAGTAGGATCAAGGTCCAAGCTAGGGTTGGGACACTATAGGGAGACAGAACAGGAAAGGCCCAAATATCATATCTGGAAAAAAAGAAAAAGCCAAAAGGGCTGAGGAGTGGCTTAAGTAAGCAGAAGGCTCTGAGTTCAAGCTCTTAGTACCAGGCCTACTGCTGATGGCTCATGCTTGAGTATAAGCATGAGCATGAGCCTGAGCAGGAGGCTGAGATCTGAGGCTGAAATCAGTCTGAAGCCAGGCTAGGCAATTAACTATCAAAAAGCCAGAAGCTAAAGCCTTGGCTCAAGTAGTAGAGTACCAGTCTTGAGGGGAAAAAGCTAAGGAACAGGACCCAGGCTGAGTTCAAGCCCCAATACTGGCACCAAAAAAAATAAATAAATAAAACCTTTGCTTCAAAAGGTATGGTGGGTGGCATGTAGTTGTAATCCTAGCATTCAGAAAGGAGGAGAAGATTCACAAATCAAGGCCGGTTTAGGTGCCACATTAAAACCTTGCCTTTAAAAAAAAAAAAATGAAGTGGGACTGGGAAGGTGGTTCAGTGGTAGAATGCTTGCCTCCCATGCATGAAGCCCTGGGTTCAATTCCTCAGCACCACATAAACAGGAAAAGCCAGAAATAGCGCTGTGGCTCAAGTGGTAGAGCACTAGCTTTGATCTGAAGAGCTGAGAGACAGCACCCAGAGCCAGAGATCAAGCCCCATGGCCAACAACAAAAACAAAAGAAAAGAAAAGAAAAGGAAAAAAATGAAGTGGCCAGACACTGGTGGCTCACGCCTATAATCCTAGCTACTCAGGAGGCTGAGATCTGAGGATCAGGGGTCAAAGCCAGCCCAGGCAGGAAAGTGTGAAACTTTTTTATCTCCAATAAACCACCAGAAAACTGGTAGTGGCGCTGTAGCTCAAGTGAGAGAATGCTAGCCTTGAGCTGAAGAGCTGAGGGACAGTGGCCACACCCAGAGTCCAAGCCCCGTGACCGACCAAAAAAAAAGAAGTGGGGTTTGAGAATGTGGCTTAGTGGTAGAGTGCTTGCCTAGCATGCATGAAACCCTGAGTTCGATTCCTCAGCACCACATACACAGAAAAAGCTAGAAGTGGCATTGTAGCTCAATTGGTAGACTGCCAGCCTTGAGCAAAAGCTCAGGGGCAGTGCCCAGGTCCTGAGTTCAAGCCCCAGGACTGGCAAAAGACAAAAACATGAAATGGGGGCTGAGAATGTGGCTTAGTGGTAGAGTTCTTGCCTTGCATGCATGAAGGTCTGGGTTTGATTCCGCGATACTTCATAAACAGAAAAAGCCAAAGTGGCACTGTAGCTCAAGTGGTAGATTGCTAGCCTTGAGCAAAAGAAACTCAGGGGCAGTGCCCAGGCCCTGAGTTCAAGCCCCAAGTCTAGCAAAAAAAATGAAATGGGCTTGGGACCTGGCTCAGAGGTAGAGCACCTGCCTAGCGATTACAAGGCCATGGGTTCAAGCCCCATAGCCTCCAGAAACAAAACAAGAAAAAAGTGGCACCTTTCCTGATTAAAGGTTATGAAAACAATGCCAAAGAAATTAAAACAGGATACATATTCTGGGGTTAACTTGCCATGTATGGTCTTGAGAAAATAAAATTTAGATCTAACCCCAGCATCATTAAAACATGACGAATAAATCCCCATAGCCTGTATTTTAGGGAAACATGAGTTTAGTTGGAAACTAAAGAGCTATTATGTCTCCCAAAGATAGACCTTTATCAAAATGTTAGGGCAGAATTTAACAACAGAAAAAACAAAACACATGACCTTCACATTCCTAAGGTAGAAAACACACAGGAACTCCTGCAGTTCAACATGCTAGCAGATACCAAGAAGAAGAGGAACCATTGTCTTGTGCAGGTACGAGAAATAAACTAAGAAACAGGGCAAAAGATTCTAGTGTCCACCTTCCCCTT